AGTACAAAAAGCAAACCCAAAAAAAAAAAAAAAAAAACGCCAACGCACAGCGCTTCATGGTGGGGCTAGGCTCTGAGAAACGCATCATTACACAATCTCCCCTTTGTGCGAACATCAGAGCGTGCTTACGTGGATCTCAGAGGGGTAGCCAGCTACACACCTCAATAGGCAGGCAGCCAGTTATAATCATACGGGACCTCTGTCGACCTGTCACTGACACGACGTTGTTACGCAGTGCATGACCAAATGCATACTTAGAAGAGGGTAGCGCCACCATTTTTTTTTTAAAAAGACATCCATTTTACGTCTCATCAGGCAACTTGAGTCGCTGTGTTATACACTGTTAATTCCAGTTCTGTAGTGATTCTATTTAAACTGTGAGTTTCCTTGTTTTGGTGCAATATTTTATTATCGTTTAACCTCAGGATATTGAGACCAACAGAATCGTGCTGCTGCTAAAGGCTGAGCAGTATTTTTACTGTTCCCCCCCCTCCCCTCCTATGCCTGGCCACGTATTCACTTGCTTTTCTTCAGTTGGTTTCTTGTGAGCCGAGCGCATTTCTGGACACAGAGCGCTAGGGAGCGAGGGAGTCCCACAGTAGAGATTCCGCACCAGCCACGTCCTTTGGTTCCCCTATGTCTTAAGGGTTTGATCCAGAAACCCTGGTGCTTCCGATGCGGAATACTGTACCTCTTCCCACAGAGAGATTCATCTATCTTTCCATCAATGTATTCCACTCGAAATTGAAAAAAGTTGGTCAAAGGTTCAAATGTATAGTTAGACATTAGTTGGCCGTGATCGGAATTATTTCTGCAAACATTAGGTAAATGTGTGCTTTTCACCCTCTGGACCTGCCTCTGTCTTTGGTAATCATGCAAACATCATAGATACTTCTTTCCTTAAAATTGCAATGTAAGGGGCCAGCAGGTGGCGTAGTGGGCACATCACTGGACTCCCACACGATCAACTGCGGTTCAAGTCTCGGACCTGGCAGCTTGAAACTCGTGCCAGGCACATGTGTGTGCATGTCCAGAATCTCAGGAGGAGAATGGAGGAGAAAGGATCGCGGTGTGGCCATCCTCCCTGGGGGAGAGTGATTTCTCACTTTTCTTCTCACTGTCTCTCTCTGGTGAGCACACCTACCCTACAGCAAAAACCTTAATTTAAAAAATAAAAAAAAAGTCACAATGCCAAACTCTTATACCAGAATCATTACAAAACTTGATTCTTTGCTTTAGTTCTCAGTGGATTTTAAAGTTAAACTTATAAGCTGTAGTTTACATGCCCTGTCAAGACATGGGCCATCTCTGTGATACTAAAAGTGAAAGAAACAAATTCCAACTGTATAGAAAAGGGAAAGTTTGAGTTATGTGGGTCCTCGTAGAAAAGCAGCTACGCAGTGGAATCTCTGACTAGAATTATTTTGTCACCCTCATTAGAGAAATCATGAAGTGCCCCTTACAAAGTTGAAGCGAAGCTCACTTTGTCACCCTTATGATGTGAATAACCAAAAGGTATTACTTGCCTTATTGAATCGATGCTAATATCTGTGACCTTACCCAATGGGTTGAAACTGCGTATGTTTTTGTAAGTCAAGGTATTTTATGAAATGTAGAAAATTCTGCATTGGGAACAGAGAAGACCTGGGAATGAAGATTAAAATGTAGCTGCTATTATTTGCTTGTTTAAGTTCCCTCTTGCTCTGGTTTAGTGGGAAAAACCAAACACAAAACATGGCCTTTGAATTTTCCTTTTGATGCAAAAAAACGTTGAAATCTAAAATGTGCATCTTTGGGCACACAAATTCCTCCCGTGAGCAAAACTTCCTATGGTTTTGTTTTGCACAATAAGAAATTAAATAAAAGTGGGTTGTGTTTTTGATAAGTTATCTATGGAAGCTTTTTTTTTTTTAATTTTTATTATTAAAATGTAACAATTTAAACCACAGGGGGGAAAAAAAATAAAGATTATATTTTGTACTCTGGTTTGAACCCCATGGGTTCTTTTTGTTAATAAAATGATTATTCTAATGCTTTGAGTTGCTAGTTTTGTTTTTGCTCTTTAAAAAAATATATTTAAAATTTAAACTCTGATTTACATTATTGTACACATAAGAAACTCCATACTAGATAACCAAGTGTTATTGCTGTTAAGATTGTTCTGGGGCCAGCAGCTGGCATAGTGGTTAAGGCGCTGGACTCCTACACAGCCAACCACAGTTCGAGTCCTGCACCTGACGGCTTGAAATACCACGCATTGTATGTGAGTGCATGCCCAAAATTCCAGGAGGAGAATGGAGAAGAAGGGATTGTGCTGTGGTCATCTCCCTAGGAGGGTGAGTTCTCACTTTCCCTCTTTTTTTTTTTTCCCCCTCTGGCAAGTGCGCACGCCCTATGGCAAAAACCTTAAAAAAGAAGATTGTTCTAAGCATGATGTCGTGGGCACGGTAGGGCACGGCCCTAGCAAATGTGGGCTGAGTTTTACAGTAAGCTGTTTCCTGAAGTCATCTGTTTATAGCATTCCATAAAGAAGAATGTTGATAATTGAGATGAGTAAAGGAAGTTCAAGTTCTACTGGTGGTGGTTGAGAAAGCATGTTATTCGTTCCCAAATGCTAAGTGCTATTTTCTGAAGCCTCCTGAATTTGCGTGGTTTTACTGGGCCAGATTCTCCCTAGGATTTATTTAGCAGGTCGAGTGGGCAGTCAGGCGACCCATCTGTAGCAACACTGATCTAAGGAAAGCTCCTGTCTTTGTACACAGTCACGTGCGTGGATCTGGAAATACATCTTATACACCAAAAGACGTGGCAGTCATCTGTCGGAAACTGCCCCGACCTGCTCTGAGCAATTACAACCTTAGCTAAGGAACAAAACAGCCCGGCGAGTTTATTCTCCAGCTGTTTATAATATGCGACATGACATTCCATAATAGGTGGGTTGTTTGTGCATCCACATCTGTGATGAACAAATGGAAATAGTTGTCTCACGGAACAAGTACGGAGTCCCGATTCCTAAGATCACCGTGAAAGTTTCTAAGTTTCTAGATAGAAGTTGTGGGTTCTAAAATGTAGAAGTAGGCCGAGCAGATACTACAAAGAAACCAGGGCAGAGCCATCGTGTGACAGATGAATAGAACAACACCGGAGAGGTTTGTCACCTGAGAGCTTGGCCTACACTCCCTGTGAGGGCTCTGCTTGCTTTGCAGTGCCCTGATTCTAGTCTTTAGTAGAACAGACGGCTTCAGTTCTAGCTTGCTGTCTCACAGATGAAGACTTGCAGACCTGAGTCTTGAGCATAGTCTCGGTGTATCTAAAAGCCCCAATCTCCTGAAAGCACACCAGCCTTGGTTTAATGAAAGCTTCCTTTGTTCAATTAGTAGCTGGAATCCTTCAACAGAGATTGGTGTTTCTGGCTTTATATTTTTAAGTCATAAACCCACAAAAAGTTGCAATAATATTGAATAGTATAGCAAAGGGGCTAGCAGGTGCTGGAGTGGTTAAGGCGTTGGACTCCTATATGGCCAACCGTGGTTCAAGTCTCAGATCCAGTGACTTGAAAAAAATCACACCACTTTCTCACATCACTTGCATGTGCGTGCATGCCCAAAATCTCAGGAGGAAAATAGAGGAGAAGGGACTTCAGCACGATCATTCCCCCTGAAAATGATTTCTCACTTTCTCTTTCTCTGTCTCTCATGTCCTTCAGCAAAAGCCTAAAAAAATAAGATAAAAAGTATAGCAAAGAACTACTCAAGTCACCCGGTCCCCCCAGTGATAATGTCTTAAACACCTATGAGACGTTACATGCCAAAATCATGACGCTGATACAATTGACTAAGGTTCTGACCTTCCTTGAATTTGACCAGATTTTGCATGCATGCATTCTTCTTATGTACGTTTTTGTGTATAATTCTGTAGCATTTTATCACATGCGTGTAGGTTCATGGACTCATACCGCAAGATACAGAACTCCCATCACACAGAAAACCTCTGCCAATTTCTGGGACTGCAGTTAGCATAATGGCTATGTTGCTGGACTCCCACGTAGTCGACCGCAGCTCAAGTCCCGGACCCGGTAGCTTAAACTCATGCTGGGTGTGTGTGCG